AGTCTGTCCCCATTCCCCATCCCTGGCCCAGGGTCAGTCTGTCCCCATTCCCCATCCCTGGCCCAGGGTCAGGCTGTCCCCATTCCCCATCCCTGACGTGGCCATTGTCCCCACAGAGGCCCGCAAGAAGGTGGAGAGCAGCAAGAGCGAGGTGTCCCAGGAGGACACGGCCTCCGAGGCCGAGGCCACCGCGGAGGAGCCGCTCAACGGGGACGAGGGCGAGGAGGAAGGGCTGGCACGGGAGGAGTGTGAAGATGAACTGGTAAGGGAGCTTGGGCATTGCAGCCCTGCAGCAAAGGAGGGGGACACAGCTTTATTGGAACTTGCCACATCCACAGGAAAAGTGGTTTTTCCATCCTCCAAAGAAATTGCAGTATTTAAATCTGATTGTTGTCCCAGGTTGTTCTTCCAAGCCTGCAGAAGCACTGCCCTTGCAAACACATGTGGAGGTGCTGAAGAAACATGGTTGGCTCTTGAAATTCAGACATTTATCCTTGATTTCACAGCTAGGAGTGGTTTAAACCAATTCACTCTGCTCCCAAGTGATTCTTAGCTGGATTTAAACACACCACAAGGACAGGCTGTGTTAGATGAGCTGCATTTGCAGTGCCCTTGCAGCTGACCAGACATTTACGGAGTAACAGGAGGGTTTGGATTGGAAGGAACCTTAGAGCACTTCTCATTCCACCCCTGCCATGGCAGGGACACCTTCCACTGTCCCAGGCTGCTCCAAGCCCTGTCCAACCTGGCCTTGGGCACTGCCAGGGATCCAGGGGCAGCCACAGCTGCTTTGGGCACCCTGTGCCAGGGCCTGCCCACCCTCACAGGGAGGAATTCCTTCCCAATATCCCATCCATCCCTGCCCTGGCAATATGAAGCCATTCCCCTTGTCCTGTCTCTCCAGGCCCTTGTCCAAAGTCCCTCTCAGAGGCACTTGTCCCATGGCACAAGCCAAGGTCTGACCCCAGCCCCGTGCTCCTAGTCCTGCCCCAAACAGGGGTGTTCCTGGTGAGCCCAGTGACAAACTGTGCACTTGGATGGGAGCCCAGTGTTTGGGTACAGAACAGGCACTGTGGTAACACTGGCAGCACTGTCATTTATCCCAAACCAAACCCTGCTGAGAACAGGATCAGCTCCAGATCCAGGCTGAGGGCAGCAGGGTAGAAGGACATGACCTGCCCTGAGTGGCCCCCAGGAACAGCTCCAGTCCCTCCCCAGCCCAGCACTGGTGGCAGCAGAAGTGAGGATGAAGCTGAACATGCCTTCCTCTTCCTCACCCCCCATCCCTGGGTGCTCACACTGCACATCCACAGCCTTAAACTGCTCCAGCTCCAAACACTCCCAGCTGGGTTGGGCTCTCCTGCCCAACTGGGTGAGGGCTCTCAACAGGGTCCTTGAGCTGTTCCAGGGCTGGAGGAGAGAGGTCACTCCAGGCACTGGGAAGAAGAAGGGCACAAGCTGTGTCAGGAAAAGGAAGGCCAGGCTTAAATTACATCAGGGCAAACAGATGGTAGACATTAGAGGGAAACTTGCTGATGTTAATGATGATAAAGAATCTCACAGCCTGTCAACAAAAAATGTGCACTCCTCTGCCTTTGCAGGGGTAAGAAAACACTGGAGGGACATCTGCTGGCAGTGGTTTGGGAAGAGCTGGTCCTCATTAAGAGGAGAAGAAAAAGATGACTGTTTCACCTCACATCTCTATTTTCTGGAACTCCCTGGTCCTGATGTGGCATCAACACCAGAAATGTTCCACTGCCAGCCTCAGACAGGCTCCTGAGTGCTGTGGATGGTCAGGGCAGTGTGTGCAGCTCACAGCACAGCTCACAGCACTGAGCAGTTCCTGGAGTTACTCCTTTATCCCACACCCCAGTGTGGCTCTCACCATGGACATGGCACCCACATGGGGTCCCTAAAATCCCTTTGGCTCTGAGGGGCAGGGGGGTGGCAGGAGAAGAGCCAGAGGTCACTCAGAGCTGAGGGAGTTTATTGAGTTCTGAGCCATAAATTTGGGTATGGAAAATTCAGAGTAAGTGCAGCTGGATTGGTGATCAGTACTATTTACTACACTTAGTAGGGGATACAAAGATTATTGTGTATTAAATGTGTTACATGTGCAAAAAATGTCACCTGCCAGCCCATCAATGCCTGGTGTCAGCTGAGGGGTGTCTTGGGGGATGGCCCTGCTCAAGGGGAGATCCCTGCTCATAGATAGCTGCTCTGGAGGGAAAGCTGAAGGACTCCTGATGTGTTCAGGTATTTACAACACACTGTGATTGATTTGCAGTCAGATTTTCTTCTGGTTTCCTGCAGTTTTGGTCATTTATCTGCCCAGTCTGCATCTAAACAGTTTTTGGGGTTGGTGCTGGGTGCCCCCTGAAAGTCTCACACCAGAGGGGTCTGGATGTCCTGGCCTCCAGAGACATCTCACATGGGATTTTACCAGGCAGATCCCTGAACAGCCCCAAATCTGCTCTCTCAGGTTCAGGGGTCTGATCCTGCTGTTGGTGTTGGTCACTTCTCAGGTACTCAGGTTCACAGTCCCATGGCTCTGCAGCCAAGGCTTCTCTCCACCTTCACATCCCTGACCAGGTGTTCTTGGCCATCAGGAACCAGAACAAAGCCTCCCCTGCTCAGCTGGGCAGAGCTTACTCTGGATGCTGTCCCAAAGCCTTTGTTTCTTGCTCCAGCCCTGCCCCTTCCCCAGTGCCAGGGGTGCAGGTTCCCCAGGGGTCTGTGCCCCAGTGGTGTGCAGGGGGTGCCTGCCACGGTGTCACAGCTGGGTGTCACCCTGGCCCTCCCCCACAGGAGGAGGATCCCAGCCCATTCATCCCAAGGCGCCCTGAGCAAGGCCATCTCCCCTGGCTCTCAGGGAGAGCCTGTTCCCTTTCCTTCCCCTCTAGCCCCTTGTGTCCCTGCAGAGAGCTCCTGCATCCATTTCCATCCCTGAAATGCCCACCCTGTGCAGGAGGTTAAACACCACTGTGAGCACCCATTCACTCCCCAGTGCCGCTGCTCTGCTCTGCAGCTCCAGGAGCAAATTCCACTGAGAACCATAAAGGCTGGAAAACACTTCAAGACCATCAGAGCAGTCCAAACACATGCTGTGCTTTCCAAAGCCCTGCTTGGGGAGCAGTTCAGCCCCATTATTATTATAAAGGTCATTATTGTTGCCTTTGGAGTGCTGGATGAGTGTTACCATTCTGGATGATGAGTTCTGCTGCAAACTGGGACCAGTTCCTGTGCTCAACAGCAGAATCAGGACACAGATTTGCCTTCATGGACTGAGGCACCTTGGCAGCACTGGGCAGTTCCAGGGAACAGAAACACGGTGAGAGGAAATGGCCTCAAACTGTGCCAGGGGAGGTTTAGATTGGAGATCAGGGAAATTTCTTCACTGAAAGGGTGGTCAGGCATTGGAACAGCTGGGAAGTGAACATGGATGTGCTGGGTTAATGTTGGACTTGATGATCCTGGAAGTCTTTTCCAATCTGAATGATTCTGTGATTCTGTTACTTCCAAGCCCTGGAGGGGATTGCACACCCCAGGGCTGTTTGGCAGAGCCATTTCAGCATCAGGAGCCAGGGGAAGTTGGTGTTTTTGCCAGATGTCCATACCAGGTGTGTTCTGTAGCTCGTCCATCACACTGAGCACGCTGGCACTGCTGTCCCACAGCAGGGACCAGCTGGTGCCCACATGGGAGGTGTCCCAGGCAGGGCAGGAGGGACCCAGGGTGATTCACTGTTTGTGGTTCCCTTTTCCCTGCAGGAGAACAGCCATTACACAGACGTGGAGGATGCCAGGCTACAGTAACCAGGTACAGCCCCGTGCTGCTGATGGAGCCAGAGCTCTCCCTCTGTGCCCCTTGGGCCTGGGGGTTGCTGCTTCAGGAGAGGCTCTTTCCCACTGATCCTCTGTGTTTTCCTAGCATGGAGCTTGGCTGCTCAGCTGGGCCACTGGCCAGCCCTTCACCCCTTTTCCTGAGTGACAAATCTCTGGGGTTCAAGGACAGTGCTGTAGCTCCCCCTTCTCTCCTTGCAGCTGTGAGCAACAGAGTGAGGAAAGCACGAGGCTGAACCCTGTCCTGGCACGTTGAGCAAGGCAAGCTGAATGGAAGTGCTGCTGTCATCTCTACCTGGCATTCAAAGGAGAAACATGGCCCGACATCTTCCATCCATCTGTAAAGCAAAGGCAAAGAAAACTCATCCTCCCAGCAGATCCCCACCACCCCTGCCATGGATTTGGAGCTCTGCAGGCAGCAGAGGAGCTCTGCACAGCCCAGAGCCACCACAGAGAGCAGGAGTGTCCCCAGGCAGTGTTGTAGAGCTGCTTGCAGGAGGGCAGAGACAGCTCAGCCCAGCCCAATAAAGACATTTTCCTGTGTGAGGTGAGAGCCAGAGCATTTCCTAACTGAGGGAAGAGCAGTGTCTCAGTCTGGACAGTTTGTGTTCTTGTGCTGAAGGTGCTGTTGATCAGAGGCTGTGGTGGGAGCTGTCCTCCAGCTCAGCCACCTCCTGCCACTCTCTGTGCCCCCTGAGCTGCTGTGTGTCCACAGTCACCTCCCGGTGCAAAGGAGTCGCTGCTGGGGCAGCTGCTGTGCTCTGGGGAGCTGCTTGAGGAGGGAAGGGGAGAGGAAGCTGCAGGAAATCAAGTGATCCCAAGCAGGAGAGAGCAAGCAAACACCACCCTGAGTGCTTTGGTGTCCTCATTCTCCACCGTGTCAGGGCTGAGCAACCCTCTGCAGAGTGAGGGGCGGGGATGAGACCCTTTCCTTGGACCAGCTGCTCCTGGAAGGGATGTGGAGCACCCACCTCCTACAGCCTGGAGCCAGTGACCCTCCCTGGCTGCCCACACCTCCTCCTGCGGCAGTCAGGGCACATCAGGAGCGTGCTGTGACCCCTCTGCTCCTGCCTGAGCTCCATAGTGACAGCGTGCCCGAGGCTGGGTCAGGGAATGAATGCCCTGGGCACTGTGGCTGTGCCTGTGCAGCACCTCCCCTGCTCCCAGCTCCCAGCTGCTGCTGTGCCCTGCCCCGTGCTGGGAGCAGAGGGCTCCTCCTGGGACCCCAGAGGCCTCAGCCATTCTCTCCTCCTTTGTCCTTCCTGAGCTCCCGTTTTTCTTTCCTCTTTGTCCTTCCTGGGCTCCTCCCGTTTTCCCGGGGGCTGAACCTCACACAGCACTTTACCCCTCTCACCTGGTGTGTCCTGCCTGCCCCTTCCCCTCCAGATCCCCCACACACAGCAGTGCTTGGAACCCAGAGCAGAGTCCACACCTTCCCCCTGGCCAGTCACAACACCTGGGGGGTCCTGAGTGCTCCAACCTCATCCACAGCATCTCTTGGAAGGGTGAAGGGGAAGCAGCTCCAGGGGTGACACTGCCCTGCCCCCGGGGCCATCCTGGAGCACGCATGGCTCTTGAAGCACAAAGTTTTCTTTGCATTTCTTAGTTTGGGCTGCTTGAGGAGGGGTTGGAGGGAGCCCCGTGCTTGCCCTGCCCTGGCCCAGTTCCTGTGCAAGGTCTGCACTGAGTTGTCCTGAGCTGTTCTCCAGGCCTGGAGAGATGAGCTGCAGGTTTGGCTGTGAACTGACTGTGCTGCTGCTGTTTGGGAGAGGTGACCTTGTACATACAATCCTGTATAATAAAAGAAAGAAATCTAATTTGCTTCTCCTCTCTTCTCTCTGCCATACACACACACTTGTTCTGTCTTTTTTCCCTTTCCAAGCCTCAGCTCTGCCTGCAGGATTTACTTTCCCTTGCCCAAGGTATATCCCACTAGGCTGAGCAAAACATCTGTGTTCACAGGAGTTCTGGGATTTTCCCTGGAGACTTGGGAACTTCTTTGATGCAGGAGAGCAGGGGCCAAGTCCAAGCCTTTAATCTCTGGATTTTTCACTGGTCCAGCTCATAACAGCCTGGGAAAGTCTGGCTGCTGTGCCAGGCTGCACAAGCCAGCAATGCTAAAAACTGCTCCTTAAGCAGGTGTTGCTCTGGGTGACACCAGAGCGTGTCAGGAGGGACCAGTGACCCTGAATGGTTGGGTTGGAAAGGACCTTAGAGGTGATCTCCTGGGGACCTTCCACTGGACCAGGTTTCTCCAAAGTCCATCCAACCTGGATGGGTTCCTTGTGGCTGAGCCACCATCCAGCCCTGGAGAGCAAAACGGGTGAGTTTCTGGTGAAATGTTTGAACACCCACCTGTCTGTCTGTCCTGCCAGCAGTTCCCTCCAAGGGGACACAGCAGTGAAATAAACACGGGCAGGAGATGTTTCTCCTTTTTAATGCCTTTATTGAAAATCAGCTCGGGTGGAAAGAATCAACAGGTGGTGCTCACAGCGCTGCTGCCGCTGCTCCCAGGAGTGGGATGGAGGAGAAGAAAAAGTGCAGCTTTGTGTACTGGTCTGCAGGCAGAGCTGGGACTTCCATCCTCACGAGAGCACCAGGAGATTCCCTGCTTTCTGGTTTGACATTTGAGGTCCTCTTTCCAGCCGACATCTTTTAGGTTAGGGTGAGGGGTAAAAAGGCCTTGGCAAACTCTGCATTCTGTTCCTCACGTCTAGACATCAATTTGATTTATCAATTTGTGTTGGCTCGTTGTTTTAGGGGTTTTTGTTAGGTTTGGTGAGGGGCTTCCTCGTTTGCATGCTGGCTCTGATGTCATTTGCATGCCAACTTCATTGTCCCCTCCTCTCCACTGGGTGCCATCCTCCGGGAAGCAGCAGGGTGTCACTCAACTAAGGGAGAATTCCTAAACATCAATGACAGGTAGGTAACGAAAACAACAGGTGGTTACAACAACAAACAGCAAACAGAACTCCACCCTGGCAGCAACTGGCCCAACCTGTGAACTCTTCAACCTTTTAAAAAAATGGGCAGCTGTTCTACTCATAACAGCAGCAGCGTCAGGCTGATGGCTGGGTGTCTTTGTGGCTGGAAGGAGGAACAGCACCAGGGGGAAAAAAGCCCCAAAACCAAGCCAAACTGGCTGTCAGAAGGTGGGAATCAGCCCAACCTTCAGTCTGCTGAGCCACGTGCCCACCTGTGAGGGCTGCAGGGCCTCAGGGCTCACTGCAGCTCAGCCTTGGAGCACAGACAGCAAAGAGCTGCTCGGATTGTGTTCATTACTTTGGGACTTGGGGAGCTCTGAGCAGGCCCTGCAGGGTTGTTCACTCTCCCTTGGCTGTAGGTGGGGCACCAAGGAAAGGAGTTCTGGGTTTGGTGTTCAGTGATGTGTGAGAGAGCCCAGCTGAGGGGGCAATGGGGGAAAAAGGGACACCCCCGCTCCTCCATCACCCTGTGGCCATGAAGCCCCTGCAGAGCTCCCTGCTGGCTCCCCTGCTCTGTCAGGAGAGCAATGGGCGCCCCGAGGGGTCACCCCTGCTCTGAGCAGGTTTTCCTCCGACCCATTTAGGCTGGAAAAGCTCTCCAAGGCCACCCAGCCCAGCTTCCCCAGCTCTGCCAAGGCCATCCCAATGTCCCCAAGTGCCACATCACCTCTTTTAAACCCCTTCAGGGATGGGGACTCCACCACTGCCCTGGGCAGCTGTTCCAATGCCTGAGCACCACAAAATTACATTTTCCATATTACCCAGCCTAAACCTCCCCTGGCACAACCTGAGGCCATTTCCTCTTGTGCTATCCCTTGACAGCTGGGAAAAGAAACCAGCCCCCAGCCACATCCCATACAGGAGGGAGAGTCTCTTGTTGCTGATGTATTTACAACCACATTTTTTATTGTCTTCTATGGCAGTACCCAAATAAGTTCAAGTTGAGCTTTTCCCCTTCTGATTTTCTCCCTCAACACCCTTGTAGTTGCTCTAAATTGCCTCCCTGTTCTTCCAAAAGTCAAAAATTCTTCTTTTCTCCTTAGTTCCAAGCAGAAGTTCAGCCAAGCCATTTTTCTTCCCCATCTCATCTCTGGCTCAGAGGCACAGCCTGCTCCTGGCCCTTTAGGGCTGTCCTGCCTCACAGAGGTGTGGTCCTCCCCAGGGCCCTCTAAACACCCATGACATAAAAAGATGTGTCAGACCCCATTAGCTCTTGAAGGAATGTAAAGGCTCCCACCCTTTTTGCACTCAACCTCCTTTTCCATGGTCCAGTGTCCCCCCCTGGAAATTGTCCCTGCCCTGCTGGGATGTGGGAGGACAAGGGCTGGGCCACTCCATTCTCTCCAGAACAACCCCACAGGCAACAATTAATTCAACATCTGCATATTCTTAAGAAATTAACCAACATAAACTGAGCAGCTCAACTGAACATACACAGCTGCCATGGTTGGAGCTTGAAAAAAAAATAAATAAAACTTTTGTGGAAGATTTTCCCCACCACCCACAGAGGGAAGGTCCCATTCCCAAATGTCCTGGACCTCACCTCGCTTCTCACTTGTGCTGCTGTTTGCTCCCATCCCATCAGTGGCAAGGTCTTGCTTAGAAACACCCTCAGAGTCTGTCCCTGCTGCCTTGCCTGCACCTCTGCAGGAATGGGAGTGTCTGAGGCTGCTGACACTGTGGGTTAAATGGCATGGCAT